GATCTTACACCACAATAATCTCTCACCACACAAAAAGTTCCAAGAATTCCCTTAGGAGTAATTAAGAAAGAAGAAGTCTTAAAGAGAGACCCTTCATAGCCAAGGAAATTAATTAAGGCTAAGAGGTAACCCATGCCTCAACAAAACCTATTTTCTTCGCTATAATCTCCTTCCTTGGCCTCCCTCTATATTCTCGTGTCTTGATGAATTCTTCTATGTTAATTGTGATATGCTCTTGATGATAGATAAGAGGATTTATGGGCATTCTTGATAAACTTGATGATCTTGATGTTGAAAGGAAGTCCTTGATATTGATGTGATAGTTATTGACGAATCTTGATATTTCTTGATGTTAAAGATAAAATACGATCTTGGTGATTTGGGTGGGATTAGAGCCCTAGGTTGGATTGGGAATTTGTGTTCGGATGTTCTTGATATATATTTGGGTGAGAATTCGCATGTTTGGGTGTTGTTTATATTTAGAAGTCATAATAGGATGAGTTCTACGTGATTCTTGCTTTTGAACCGTTAATTGCCTACGTGGTGTCGCTAATTGCGTTTATAAGTGTCTAAGCATGGTTTCGGGTTCCACAAAGGTTCCCGGGATGAATATATGAGAAAAGAGTCAGTGGGGGTAGGAGAACCCGCCACCTACCCGCTGCCCGAAGGACACCGCCTGGCAGCGGGCAGCCGCTTGCCTGCCGGCAACCCGCTGCCCGGAACAGTGTCCTCCGGCGGGCAGCCGGCGGGTGACCCACACCCACCGGCTACCCGCTGGTCCGTACCCCACCCCCGGTCTTGGCTTCCCCGTTTAATGTTCCCCGCTTCCCCATGGTGTCCCAACGGACCCCGTTTGTCGTGCGTGAGTTTAGTTTGATGTTTCGGGTACCATTCGTAGGTTAAATAAGTCTTAGGAATTACATGCTAGTTGAATTGGTAACCCGTTGACCTAAGTGGAAGTTGTATGAAACCTTAGGACTATTCTTAGTATGTGAATGATCACACGTAAGTTTGTTTATATGTCTTCCCCCCCCCCCAATGTGCTACTGCGTGCTCCTATGTGTTATGTGTTGCATGATCCCCCATTTTGGTTACAGACCAATTGGGTGATTCCCGGACTAAGGTTCGGAAGTCGGCTGAAGGCCGAATGGATTGTTCCCGGACTAAGGTTCGGAAGTCGACTGAAGGTCGAATGGTTTGTTCCTGGACTAAAGGTTCAGAAGTGGCTGAAGGCCAAATGGATTGTTCATGAGCTAAGGCTCAAAAGTTGGCTAAAGGCCGAATTGATTCACTTCTTGGACTACAGGTCCACATGGGCCTCGGTGATATGACCCACCGACCTGGACGCACCAGGCGGTGTGTAGGGCTATCAAGCCGAGGAAGGCTGTAGTCCACCGACCTGAGTAATCAGGCGGTGTGTAGGGCTACGGCTGGCTGCGATCCACCGAGTGATGGGACAGCGGTGTGTAGGGCCGTAGTCTCCGAGGATCTTCGCCCACCGACTGAGTTTAGCTCAGCGGTGTGTCGGGCTTGATCCGCTACGGTTCACCGACTGTACGCATCAACGGTGTGTAGGGTCGTAAGTCCCCCCTTGTAAAGGGGATCGCGGTCCACCGACTGTGCGCGTCAGCGGTGTGTCGGATAGTGGTCCGACATTGAGTTCGTTAGCGGTTCTCAAAAGGGTTGGTTGCGATCAACTCCCCTCATACCACGGTACTGAGGTAGGGTGCTGCGGGGCCGTGTTAATGCTATAAGCATTAACCCTCATGTTCGGGGCATGCGATTGGTCCCGTGGCGCCATCAACGATTATGTGATATGAATGATGATTGAATGATGGTGTGTTTGAATTGAAAATTTTTCTGTGACCTTAGATGCGTATTCCTTATGATGTTATCTCTACTTAACTGTTTATCATTGTTTGATGTGCTTGTCCCTACTTGCTGAGTCTATTCCCGGTTTTAAAACTAGTGTCTCTTAAGTATATATCTTCCTGTTTCAAAATGATTCTCGTATATCTATATATATCTATCTATAATGTATTTCAACGCGTTGGAGTGGGTTACCGGCATCATTCGCTGAACAGATATATTTGGCTTTCAGGCACAGCAGATTAGTTCCCAGAGCGCGCTAGAAGAGCTTGGAGTAGATAGATAGTTTCCCTTTTTGGCCTTCGTGCCTCAATGATGTATCGAGGATAATTAGTTAGTTTAGCCTGTGCATCTGAGTTCTCCAGCTCAGATGTGGCATAGCACCCCGCACCTATATGTTTTATAATACTCTATTTTGGGATTTAATGAGAATTTACCTTTATTATATAAGTTTTAAAAGTCTCAAAATTTCGGGGTGTTACATTTGAATTTCGAAAAGGCGAATTAATTTTTGGTAACCAAGGTTAAGATATTATCTTAACAAAAATAGAAGAGAGATTTAAAAGGAAGTCAAGGAATTAATTTTGACCCGTGATTGTGACACCATATACTCTCCTTCTGTGTTCTTATTCTGCCTTATTAATCAATCATGCAGATTCCCAGAGCAGATCTGAGAATCTCAAACCGATTTGCGTCCAGAGGCTTAGTTAGTATGTCAGCCAATTGCTTATCTGTTTGAATGTATTACAACTCTATCTCCTTGGATTCTACCAAATCTCTGATATAGTGATGCCTTATATCAATATGCTTCGTTCTGGAATGTTGAACAGGGTTCTTTGAGATATTGATTGCACTGACATTATCACAGTAGAGTGTCATAGTTCTTTGAGTGAGACCATGATCTAGCAGCATTTGTTTCATCCAGACCAACTGAGTGCGACATCCTCCAGCGGCTATATATTCTGCCTCTGCAGTACTTAGAGAGATTGAATTCTGTTTCTTGCTTAACCATGATACCAAGTTCTTTCCAACAAAGAAACATCCACCTAATGTACTCTTTCTGTCGTCAATATTTTCTGCCCAATCAGCATCACAATATACAACCAGACTGAGTTCACTGTCCTTGGAATACCATAGCCCATATTGAATTGTTCCCTTGATGTATTTCAAGATCCGTTTAGCAGCTATCAAATGTGACTCTTGAGGATCAGATTGATATCTTGCATACATTCCAACACTGAACATTATATCTGGTCGACTCGCTGTTAAGTAAAGCAGACGTCCTATAAGACTTCGATAGACTGTGTTATCAACTGATGCACCAGTATCATCTTTTGATACCTTTGTGGAGGTGGAAATAGGTGTCCTGGATGGTTTACACGATTCTAGATCGAACTTCTTGACCAGATTCTTAGCATACTTTTCTTGTGAGATAAAGTAGCCTTCAGGACATTGTTTAACTTGAAGTCCTAGAAAATATGTCAGTTGGCCAACCATGGACATTTCAAATTCTTCCTTCATAACCTTTACTAAATCATCAGTATACTTTTGTAGAGTAGATCCGAAGACTATGTCATTGACATAAATCTAAGCTATAGTAACATAACTTCCAGTGGTTTTAACAAACAAGGTCTTGTCAACACTCCCTCGATTATACCCATGGTGTAACCGATACTGTATCAGTCGTTCGTACCATGCCCTTGGAGATTGTTTGAGCCCGTAGAGTGTTTTTCTGAGCTTGTAGACATGAGTTGGATGAACAGGATCTTCGAAGCCTGTTGGGCTGCCACATAGATATCTTCATGCAAATAACCATTCAAGAACGCTGTCTTAACATCCATCTGAAACAGTGTGAATCCCAGAATACACGCAACTGCCAACAAAATTTTGATCAACTCCAGTCTTGCTATAGGAGCAAACATTTCATCATAGTCAATTCCCTCTATTTGAGTATATCCTTGAGCACACAACTAATTGGGCTTTGTTTTTGCAATATTTCCAGCTTCATCAGTTTTATTTTTGAAGATCCACTTTGTTTCGATTATGTTAACACGCTCAGGTCTCGGTACCAGATCCCAAACATGATTTCGGTCAAACTGATGTAGCTCCTCTTGCATAGCCTTGATCCACTGATCATCCTGCAAAGTTTCATTCACACTTTTTGGTTCTATTTTTTAGGTGTAGCAGGCTGATCCGGATATTTCTATCAGATTGTTCCTCATCCGGCTCCTGGTATTCATTCCATCTGTTGGATTGCCAATAATGTTGTCTGATGGATGATTTCTCTGAGTTCTGGTGGGCTTGTTCTTACCAACATCATCCGAGAGTGGGTTCTCCGGTTCAGGACTTTCTTTATCTTCTTCTGATGAATATTGTGTGTTGGACAGACTGGTGTCCTCAGCTGTCTTTAACTCACTGATAGTGAGATCTGTCTCTGGATCAGTTACCATTATTTCATCTGATTCTTCTGGATTGTCATCTATAACAACGTTCACTGATTCCATGACTGATTGAGTTCTTTTGTTGTAAACTCGATAAGCTCGACTGTTTGGAGAGTACCCAAGAAAAATGCCCTCATCACTCTTAGGTTCAAACTTTCCTCTTTGTTCCCTATCAATTAGCACATAACACCTTGTTCCAAAAACATGAAAGTTCTTTAAGTTCGGCTTCTTCCCCTTCCAGATCTCATATGGTGTCTTAGACGTACCTGGTCTGAGGTAGACTCTATTCACAGTATGACATGCTATGTGTACTGCTTCAGCCCAGAACCTCTGCGGTAGGTGCGATGCGTGTAACATTATTCTAGCCATTTCCTGCAAGGTCCGATTCTTTCTTTCCACCACACCATTCTGTTGAGCTGTTCTGTGAGCTGAGAATTCATGAGCTATACCATTTTCGGAAAAGAATTCTGAGTATAAGGAGTTTTCAAACTCTTTTCCATGATCACTTCTCAGTCTTTGGATTTTTACTATGGGTTCATCTTTTTCGTTTTGAACCCTTATGCATAGAGTTCTGAAGGCATTGAAAGCTTCAGATTTCTCCCTTAGAAAGTATACCCAACTGAACCGAGAGAAGTCATCTACACATACAAATATGTATTTCTTTCCGCCAATGCTTTCAGTCTGAGTTGGTCACATGAGGTCTATATGGACCAGTTCTAGACATCTCTCAATAGTGATAACTTTTGCTGCTTTGTGGGGAGCCCTTATTTGCTTTCCAATGGCACATGCACCACAAACTCCTTCCTGTTCTATCCTGAGCTTAGGTATCCCACGAACAACATCTAATTTGATTATTTTATCCATATCTCTGAAGTTTATGTGACCCAATCGTTGATGCCACAGTTTTGATTCATCTGTTTTAGATAGACGACATGCAGTTTCGTTAGTCAGAACATAACAGTTGTCAGAGGATCGTGTTCCTTCCATTACCAGTTGATCTGCTTTATCTCGGACTCTGCAGCAGTCACGATTAAAGCACACATTCCAATTTTGATCACACAGCTGACTGATGCTAATAAGATTTGCTTTCAGACCACTGACTAAGAGAGCTTCATCCAGATGCGGTAAACCTGGTACGTTTAGGGTACCTTTTCCAATTATCTTTCCTTTTTGTCTGTCTCCATATGTAACTGATCCACTGCTAGGTTGAACAGCCATGAGACACTTGACATTTCCTGTCATTTGTCTAGAACATCCACTATCGAAATACCATCTTGCTTCAGTCATAGAAGTGGTCAGAACTATGGTGGGATAGCATATTACTTCTGACTTCCTGACCCAAACTTGTCTTGTGAAGGGAGTATTAGACTTGTTCTGATATTTCTCCTTCCTTTGATCTCTGTAGAAGAAGTAACATTTAGGTCGAGTGTGACCTTTTGTTTGACAGTAGTGACAGATGGGCACATATTATCTGACTTTGACAAATTTAGTCTTGAACTTTGAGTACTAAGATTGAAATGTGGTTCTGCCAAACTCATTTTCAGCAGCTCGAGTGTGCATGGTTCCTTTTTCCTTTATCTGAACTGACCGGGATGACTGACCTTGTTCATAATTATGAGCCGGTGTACCAACTGATGTACCTTCTTCGATAAACACAGGTGTTGTCTTCGAGTGCTCTCCTTGTTCAAAACCAAGACCCTTTTTATCATTTGGATTTCAGCCAGAATCCAAAATTTTGTTTAAAGTAGAAGTGGTATCCATCATTTTGATGTTCTTCTTCAGATCCTCTAGTTCTTTTATCAATTTTCCCTCTCGAGATCTTATTTGAGTAATAAGATCTTCTTTTGTGACAAGTTCAGTATTTAGTTTCTTCAGAAGTTCATCTCGTTGCTTCAGGTCTTCATTCAGATTCTTATTGACTTTCACCAGTTGTTCCCAACTTGCAACAAGTTTAGCAAATTCCATTTCAAGTTGGGTATGCCTCTCTTCAAAGTCATCTGACGAAATGTACGATTCTTCATCGGATTCATTCTCTTCTGATTGATTTTCTGTAGCTGTGAAGAAGGCCACAAAGTTTCCCACATTGTCATCGGACTGATCATTTGATGCTTCCTCCTCATCATCACTTAGAGTAGCCACAGACATAGCCTTCTTCCTCTTGATATGCGTTGCACATTCAGATTGTATATGTCTGAATCCCTCACACTCTCGACATTGCACTGATCGGTTGAGAGGTCTAACTGTGTCAGTCGAATTACTTCTGGTTTGTCTTGTTCGGCAAGTCTGGGACAGACTATTCTGTGTGAAAGAGGGTGTTTCTGTTTTATTATATGAGGAGTTTCCACCTTTGTACTGTGTCCTGTTAGATTGTCCATGACTCCTTCGATTAAAGCCTTTCAAGATTTTCTTAAAGTTCTTGGTTAGCAGGGCCAAGGTTTCATCATATATGTCATCTGTGTCAGATTCTCGATCAGCTTCAGCAACGAAGGCCACTGACTTTCCTTTTCTGCTGACTGCAAGATCATCATCAGCCAGCACATCAAGTTCATAAGTATGTAAGCTTCCCATAAGTTCTCCCACACTCTTCTTCTCCCAGCCTGTGTGTTCCTGAATTGCAGTCACTTTCATTCGAAAAAGTTTTGGCAAAGATCGAAGAATCTTTTTGACTACTCTCTCATCTGTAAAAGGTTCACCAAGTATTGAGGCTCTATTCATCAAATTCTGAACACGACTGTGAAAAATTGAGATCGTTTCCTCTTCACCCATTCTGAGAGCTTCAAACTCTGACAGTACCAATTGAAGTTTTGACTGCTTGACATCACTGGTACCTCCGAATCTGGTTTCCAAAATTTCCCATGCACGTTTTGCTTCTTTTATCCCGGTGACTAAAGAAAAAAATGATTCATGTAGAGATCCTACAATAGAATTCAGTGCTTTATTGTTCAGATCAGAGGACGTCATCTAATTTTCTGTCTAAGTCTCAATGGGCTTTGCCTCAACAGTTCCATCAGCATTCTGAATAGTTGGACAACTCCATCCGGTGAGAATAGTATGGTAAACTCTGGTACCTTGTGCCTGGAGATTGATCTCCATACGAGCCTTCCAGAAGGAATAGTTGTGACCATCCAATTCTGGTGGTTTCATACCTGCATCCATCCTGAATCAAAAGAGAACCAGCCAAAACACACAAGCAAACAAACTGCCAGCTACAACTTCTTAAAAAGAAATCAATGCAAAAAGATCTTCCCGTAAGGATCAAGTCACCGTGTAGACTTAAAAGCTCTGATACCACATGTAATTTTGCATTTCCTCAATTTAAGATTATTAATAGAGATAATCGACTGATGAATTGTACTGACAGATTCAGAGATCTAAAGTCTGTCAGTTCGATAGATCGCAGATTCGTTTACAAAGAGTGTAAACTAAAGCAGGTAATAAAGCAACACATAAGATGTTTACCCAGTTCGATACAGTGTGTATCTACATCTGGGGGATGATCACAGAGGCGTCCAATCCACTAACTCATAATCCAATGTAAAAAGGTAGAGAAATAACAATCTCACCCAAGTGCCCCACACATGGTGCGTACCCAGTCTACAAAGGTTTAGTGGATTGTTGAAGTCGGAGAGCCACGCATGCAGAAGCCCAATGAAATCCCTTCAATTGGAGAGCTGACTCTGATGCAGTCCGCTTCAATGACGCAGTCCAATGTTGTTCCCACAACTGTGTGATCTTAGCGTCCTTTCGTTTAGGCAATGATAGTTCTTCTCAAGTTCTTCATCATAATTACCAAGAACTTATTGTCTTGAGAAGAGGCATGATAATCAAAGATATGCTCTTCTGTATAGTAAGGAGTGTTTCTTTCTTCTTAAAAACGTAACCCTAGTTCATGCCCGAATGAGGGTACTTATACTTCCATAGCAAGAGCACTCTCCAAAAATATCTCTGATTGTAGATGGTAGGACGATATGTGAAGAATGTAATCTTAAAGATTCGGTCCATACCTTGCAAAACAGATCCGCTGATATTCTTTCCAAAGCTGTCTTCTTAAACCGCGTTCAGTAAATTTGGAAACATCTTCCTTTATCAGATCTTCAGTGTCAGAGCGTCTGTTGATGTACCTGATCAATCAGTCTTCTGTAGAACAAACTGACACCAAGCTAAACCCTATTTTAGTTTGCCATAATAATATTGCCAATTATATCTTGGGGTTTTTTTTTGGAGAAATAAAAACACTAACAAATATGTTCTCTTATCCTCGCAACGTGGAGCTAATGTAGGTCGTATACACATTTCAACCAAATCCAATCTAGCATTGAGTCCATCTTTATTCTTACCTTTTATGTCTAAAAGAGTTCCAACAAAACTATCACATACATTTTTCTCCACATGCATCACATCAATACTATGTCTCACATCTAGTGTCTTCCAATATGGAAGATCAAAGAATATAGATTTCTTTTTCCATGAACTCTTCTCATTTGTAGGTATCTCTTTTGACCTCTTACCTCTTTGAGATTGAAGCTTTTGAGTCTTACCAAAAGTAACATTGATGCATTCAACTCGTTCATAAACTTGATTCTCAGTCAATGGTTGTGGAGCATCTGTATAGTCTTGTACCCCATTGAATGCGTTTTTTAATTTTCGATAAGGGTGAAATTTATCAAGAAATCTCTGATGCCCCGTGTATACAGTCTTTCTACCATGAACAAGTTGATGATAACAGGTATTATCTTCACATATGGGGCATGCCTTATGATCTTTGACACTATATCCAGACAACTTTCCATAAGCTGGAAAGTCATTGATTGTGCAAAAAAATATTGCATGCAACTTAAAAGTCTCCTTCCGGTATGCGTCAAACACTAACACACCTTCATCCCATAATTGCTTCAAGTCATCAATCAAAGGCGCCAAAAAAACATCTATATCATTACCTGGTTGTTTTGGCCCAGAAATCATAAGCATAATAATATGTATTTGCGTTTCATACACAACCACGGGGGTAGATTATAAATTATCAACATAACTGGCCATGAGCTATGCTTGCTACTTAGGTTCCCGTGGGGATTAATACAATCAGTACAAAGTCCAAGTCTAAGATTTCTCGACTCATGGCCATATTCAGGAAATGCATTATCAAATGTTATCCATTGAGAAGAATCAGTCGGGTGTCGAAGCTTGCCATCGGAAATTCTTTCATCTGCATGCCATGTTAAGTTCTTCGCATCGCTTGGATTTGCAAACATGCGCTTAAATCTTGGAAGAATTGGGAGATACCACAAAACTTTAGCTGGTGGACTTTTCAAACGTACTTTACCACTCTCTCTTGTTTTATAACGAGATGCCCTGCATATTGTACATGCATGCAAGTCTTTGTAATCATTCCTAAACAATATGCAATCGTTAGGGCAAGCGTGTATCTTTTTGTATCCCATACCCATGGGACACAACATCTTTGTGGCATCATATGTACTCTTGGGAAGTTCATTACCATCTAGAAGCATATCATTGACTATTTTAAGTAACGCAGTAAAGCTCTTGTTGCTCCACCCATTCCCAACTTTCAAGTTAAATAATTTTAATACAGCAGATAATCGGGTATATTTACTACAACCTGGTCATAAAGGTTGTTTTGAATCATTCAATAATTCATCCAACTCATTTGATTGATTGGTAAACTCTTCTCCAACATCGTGAAACATTTCATCCAACCGATCTTCAAACTCATCATTTTCATTGTCAACATACATGTTAGATGTTGTAGCCACATCGCTTTCACCGTGCCAAATCCATTGTGTATAATATGGATTAATCCCATTAACGATTCGATCATCATATATGTCCTCTTCACCTAACCTTTTATGATTACAACATTTCGTACAAGGACAGAAGAACCTCTTATTACTATTCGGAAGGTTATTCTTTGCAAACTTTAAAAAATTTCTAACTCCATCTTCATATTCCTGACTAAGTCGATTAGCTATCATCCAACTTTTATCCATCACAAGCCAATCTAAAATAATAATAACCCTAGTTAAACATTTGTTAACACTATTTTAACAAAACTTCACCTAAATAATTAAACTACACTCTCTACATCTCATTTATAGATAACAATTTCTAAAAATTAAAACTATATAAACAATATTTCATAATATTCCTAAAATATATATTCCTAACAATTTCTAAAAATTAAAACTATATAAACAATTTCTAAAAATTAAAACTTTAATTTTTATTAGTTAGAAGTTAATAGTTCGTTATGTTGTGAGTATTTAGTTATTATTGACTATAATAGTTTCGTTTAATTTAGTTTTAATTTTTTTTTGTGTTTAATTGAGTTATCGACTTCTATGATTTTATCTAATTAAGTCTTCTGCAAACATAGCTTGGTAATTTTTTTTATTAATAACTAATTTAGTATTCGATTATAGTAATTTTATCCGAATTAATCATCAACTATAGTGGTTATTAATATCTAATTTAGTTATTGACTAATGATTTTTCTTGACTTAGCCCTTGATTCTAATAGTTGGGACTCAATTAACTAATGATTTTATCAAGGAATGCTAACCCATGAATCAAGCTTTATTTTATTGTTCCATTAGGATCAATATTTTATTTTATAGGTAGATTCCCTCATGTCATAGCCATTTCACTATAAATAAATTGAGCTTTTAGGCATAGATATGATAAACAATATTTCATAAAACAAAATAAACAATATTTTATAAAATTTAAAATATATAAAAAACTAATTAAATAATATAAATAAATAAATAAATAAATATAAATAAATAAATAAATAAATAAATAAATATATATATATATATATATATATATATATATATATATATATATATATATATATATATATATATATATATTACGTACCAGTTGAGAGCGGAGTCCGGCGGAGTCCGTGGTGAGGCCGAGCTGTGGCGGCGAGACACGAGCGTCCGATCTGAGGCGAATGGTGAGCAGGGCGGCGGCGGCGTAGCAGAGCAGCGGCAGAACGACGTCTGATCTGATCGACAAAATGACGCCCGTGGTGGGGGCGAAGGCGGTGGCGCAGTGTAGCGGTGAGGCGAACGGCGGAGGAGGCGATGAAGGTGAAGATGAAGATGAAGATGAAGATAATTGCTTGAAGGCGTTGTGGTGCGGAGAAGGCGATGATTTTTTTTTATTTGTTTGAATAATTGCTTGGAATCAGACCAGCTAGTGCATATGAATTGGGCAAACATACGGCGTCGGCTTTTTAAATAGCCGACGCCGTACATTAATTATTTATTTTTTTTCTTATATTAAGTATATACGGCGTCTGCTTTTTAAATAGTCGATGCCGTAAATTAATTATTTTTTTTATATTAAGTATATACCGCGTCGGCGTTTTAAATTGCCGACGCCGTAAATAAATTATTTTTTTTTTTATATTGAGTATACGGCGTCGGCTAAGTAATTAGCCGACGACGTATGTATTATAAATACTTTTTGTTTTTTTTTTTATTTAAATAGAATACGGCGTCGACTAATTAACTAGCCGACGCCGTATCTTATTTTAATTCTTTTTTTTTTTATTTAGATGGCATACGACGTTGCTAATTAATTAGCCGACGACGTATGTTATTTAAATTTTATTTATTTTTTTAATTAGATTACGACGTCGGCCAATTACGTCGGCCGACGTCGTAACTATTTTACTTTTTTTTTTTTAAATTTCGATTATATATGACGTCGGTTATTTGTTATAACCGACGTCATATGTATTTTTAAAAAATAAAAAATAATTTTAAATATTTAACGTCGGATTTTCTAAAATCCGACGTTAAAATGGTGACGTTAAACCCGTTTTCTGTAGTAGTGAGTAATGGGTTCCCTATGGCTGCAAGACTGTCGCAAATACTTTTGAAGTTTCTTAAATATTCTGCCAAAGACTGATTTGGATCTTTTTTGAGATATGTGAGTTGTTGCCGAAGAGTAAATTCACGTTCTTGGGAATAAGGATAATGAAAGCCTATAAGAGATGTTTAGAAACCATACCATTATCCAAAGCCTAGTTGACCATCGTGGTGACGGACAGGCCCACATCATCAAGAAGTGTTGATAGAATGTCGCGAGAATTCTGTCTAGGCCTGGTGATGTGGTGTAGGTAT